ACTGTACTAAACTATCTATGTCTTAGCTAAGGAAATCAACATCTCAAGCATTAGAAGTGAAAGAAGGACATATGTATATTATCTTTTTTTTCTGCTCGCAAAACTTCATATCTCCATGCATTCTGCTCTAACTCGTCTGTTCTTTACGATCAGTTTCTCTACTTTAACTGTCTACCTATTTCTTCTTCTCATACATTGCCGTTCTAGTTTATATATCGGAACTCCTCTCTTATCTTAAGATCTATCTGATGGCGTAGCCATCGTAGGTTGTATATCACTATTCTAATTTTACCTTAATCTTAATCTATATACATCTTATCATGTTATCTTGTATCAGAGCTATTCTAATCGATTTACATATACGATTTACGTTTTATTTCTCCTCATCTAGGCATAGTGAAGATGTATTTGTTTTCTCTTTACTGGCTCACACTTACTTGTCTATAAGTGCTATGTGTTTACTTTTTTATATAGGATATTAAAATTTATTTCGTGTGATTCAGAATGAGATATATACAAGAAATAAAAGCAATGTGATTTTTCTATCTCTGTTATAACTCCCAAAATAAATAGATATTGATTTTGAGTGGTATTGCTTTAATATAGCTGTAAGAGTAGTGAACTAAATAGGTGTTATGTGTGATACATTCTTACCTTCTATTATAGTTATATTATAATATATATTACAGTAGTAGTGGGTTGTAATATAATATAAATATATGTAATAATAATATATATTTAATATTTATATTATAAATAGTATAATATAGTAATTTGACAAGTAATATATAATTAATTAGCATATAAATTATTATATAATAAAAAAATATATATATATATAGTGGCATTCTCTATCATATACAATATGAATTTTCATATGTAAATATTATCATATATATATATAATTAATAATAATAATGATATAGATAATTTATATACATAATTTATATACTGTACAAGTGTTAATAGTATAAATATTATACTGTATGTAATGCAAATGATAATAAGATTCATAATACGGTGTAGTTAGCATGAATGTACTATAGCATAAATTAAGGTATACGGTTTTAAGGTGAGCTGATAAATTTATGAAGGGATAACAACACATATTTTGCGCGTGTGGAGTGTGTGCGTGAGAGTGAACATTTCTATTGATTATTTTAAGAAAATTAATAATAATGTTTATTATAGATACCTTGATGTATACTCTATATATATAATATAATTGTTTGTCAATTCTTTCTTCCACCTCCTGATGTTTTCCTTTTAAAGTATACATTCCAATTAAAACTTATATTTTTAATTAAAATTTATGCAAAATATTAACCCTTATATATATATGTATGCGAAACAAAGTACTTGATAAGTTGATATATTCTTTGATATGTAAATAATTTGCCATCACTTCATGATCTTTCTTAATATTGAATGTGCCCATTAGACGTGTGTGACATTTTTATTCCTATATACATACTGGTAGTACTATTTAAGGCACCTTTTATGAAATCACATTCCTTTGCCCAATGCATATCAATTAATTTTCTGTTTTTTTTTATTTATCGAGCTTTCTCTCATAAGCATGAGATAGAAAAAATTTTGCTTTGTATATTAGCGATCAAGAAAATTAGTATCTGTACTTTATTTGTAATAAGTCTATTAAGTCTAAAATTCAAGTATGTTTCTTTATGGATTATAGTTATTTACCTGTTTACGATTCTTGAGTTGTAGCGTAATCCATAAATGTTTATATCTTACACTTTCAGTCATTTACAAGAAATAAAAAATACACACTGACTAGGATTGTATAAGATCATATTTCGACTTATACTATGGCGTTAAGTACAGAATAGGTTTAATAAATTTATTTGGGTACTATTTTATATTGATATTATATTTTGTCCCCACATTAGATAAAGAGAATGAAAAACTAGATAAAATTTCTAATAAAATAGAATACAGATATCCAATTTATTGCTAGAAAGAATAACATTGTATTGTTACATGTAATGTATAATATTATTAATACCCTTACATAACTTATACAATATCTTTAAATGTATTCATGATCTATCTATAATGAACATTAGTAGTATATGTGTGTGTAGTGTTTAGTGTGTGTGTGTGTATAAATTATATATATGTATAATACTAATATATTTAAATATATATACCATTATAATATATATATATATTAATTATATATATATATGTAGATAAAATTTATATCTCCATATATATATTATAATATTAAAATATATTATATCATATAATATTAATTATACTTTTATTATATGTGATATTAAATAACTCAATAGATCTCAAATTGTACTAGATCTTTTTGATGTGTGTAATTTTATAGCCTTTAATAGTAATTTATTCTTTGAAAGTATTAATTAGATTAATAATTCATTTTTGCTTTTAGATCAATACTGTTTATTGATATAATAATTTACTCAATGAGAATAACTACTATCATGTCTAGTATTTATATTGCTGTATAATATATCACACACACACACTACACTATCATCTCTCTCTATCTATCTACTTACATCAACACACACACCATCACACTACACACATCAACACACACACACACACATCAACACAACACACATCGACGCGATGCGTGTGCGCGTGAGTGCGCTATTCTCTATTTTCCTATTTTATCCTTTCCTTCCTTCCTCTACTTCCCTTCCTCATTAATCCTTCCTTCTTACTTCTCTATCTACTCCTTCCTATACTACTTTTACTATACATACTTATCCTATTCTCATACTTCACCTTCTATTCATTTATGCTATCCTTCTCCCCTCATCAGCTATATCCTACATCACTATACATATATTACATATTACCTTCACTATTATATATATTATAAATCTCTCTCTCTTCTCCTCCTCCCTTCCCGTCCCTTGCCCGTCCTTTCCGTTAGTCAGATGTATCCTGTCTATGATCTACTCTCATCACTTCTAATCCCTCCTCTCCTCCTTATCCTCTAACTACCATCATCACTTTAGCTACTTTATGTAATATATACATACTCACAACACACTAGCGTATAATCAATAACTATTCATGTCTCCTGTCGTCGTAGATCTGCCTTATATATATACTCCCTATCTATACCTCCTTACCTCGTCTACTTCCCTATTATTATCCATCCCTTCATATACCTCCCTGACGCGAGCGTGTCCTATCCTATCATCAACTACTACTTTACCCTTCCTTATCTCTTTCTATATGTCCTATAATTATTGATAATATTACCTACTATACCTCCACTCTACTCTCTATTCTTACCTTATTATATCCCATTACTTCTCCATCACCTTATACCTTATCCTAGTATATAGTATATCATTACTGGAGGGCTGGGCGTCGCGAGTGTGTTTACACCCCCATTTACATTACCTACCTCCCACTTACCTTCCTCCTATATCCTCTATATTATAACAACATACCCATCTCCTCCCTCGCTCAATCCTTCATCTTTACCTCTTTTCTACCTACTCCTCATCACTATAGTGATCTCACTAGTTATGGTATTGTTCGATCATATTTATATCACTTATAATATCTATATATACTCTCTTACCTATTACATTTTCCTCTTTGTCCCTTGTTTATATTACACAGTTATCATTCTTATAGTCATAGATAGTATCTACATCACTTATATATATATGTACTAATATATAATATTAATATTATAGTATATATATATATATATATACTATATATAAGATACTATATAATGCCTCGATATAGTATATATATATATATAGTATGATATATATATATAACTATACTCTATTATATATGTATAGGTGTGAGCGAGATTAAATGTATAATATTTATGTAATATAACATTCATGTATAATCCGTATCAGATATACCATATACATGCATACATACATATATTAATATATTATAGTTGGATACTGATATATAATATATCATTATATATATATGGAGTGTGGATATATATATACATATGAATATCGTAATTGTAAATATAAGATGCACTAATATAAATGTTTATATATATGTTTATTATATGATACACATTCACTTCCTTACTCCTTCCTTCCTCCCATTCTTATGTTGCCTCCTATCTCTTAACTAAATCCATGATGTGTGGTAGTTTATATATATACAACCTCCCTTACCTTCTATCTTCTATACTATCACATCCCACTTTGTTGTGGTGATGTTACATATAGCTATATATACCTCTACTATTCATCTTCACACTTTACATACCATACATAATAATAATATCATATCACTATATATTATATACCTCTGAGGTATTAATACATAAATTATATATATATCATATATATTAATAGATAGAAGATAGATATATAGCACTTCCATTGTACCTTTCCGTAGACTAGATAGATTGATAGATAGATTCCCATGATAGATCCTCCAGATATCTTCTTCACGTATCCTGTTAGCCGTCCTCCTTCCTTATCGGCTTTCCTCAGATAAGATAGATCACTCGATCCTCAGTACCTCTCACTGCTATGATTAATAGATTTAGCATTAGATCTTCAGAGGAGACGATCCCGTCACCGTCACCTACCCGTACGACTGTCGACTTCCCTTGGCGTGGCGCGGCGTGGCGGAACCTCGCACGTCCCTATCTGATTTTCCCTTCCTCCCGTCCCACCCCTTTCCTTCCTCCCTTGCTTACCTCTCCCCCCTCCCTTCTCCTTCCTTTCCTTTCCTTCCTTCCTTCCTTCCTTCCTTCCTTCCCTTCCTTCTTCCTTCCTTCCTTCCTTCCTTCCTTCCTTCCTTCCCTTCCTTCTTTATTTGTTTTTCACTCTACCATTTTATTCTCACTTTCTCCCTTCCAAAATTTGTATTACTATATTATGAATATTTCATGGTTGATGGAAATGAAGAAAGTTACACCTCTAGTACTCATGAACAGTTTTAGATAAGATCATTAATATCTCCTTTTATATTCTGTATTGAGCAGTTGCATTTTGATGAACACCTGAACTAACAATCTTTCTCTCTGTTTTCATGCATTCATGGATTGCTTTGTGATTTTAAAACACATATAATCCTTTAGGAACGATGACAAGACGAAGTGCAAAAGCAAGAAAAGTTCATAAAGGAGATAAAATCGAGGAAAGCTTCTGTTTGGTGAAGATGGAGTTACGGTGGAACGAGAGCGCGTGTGCAAAATGGATTTCTTAACGTGGCATGGTGATCAGTCTTCGATAGCCTAGTGCGCAGAAGCGAAAAAAGGGTTAAATGTTTCGAGAAGGTTGTGGTTAATGTGATAAAACAAAAACGGGTAAATACTTCCGTCTGTGGGACGTCGGTGCACATACTGCACTAATGGTGATATTATTGTTTTCCTTGTCGTTGTTGAATTCAATGATGACGACCTTCCGACGACGCTGCCGGTCGTGGAGTCGTCGCCGTGGCTTAGTGTTCCTCTTGGTCGTGGTGCTAGGGATGCTCGTGGCGGCGAGGATAATGGCTTCCAGTAGAATGGCCGAAGAGGAACTCGCCCCGTGCGCAGTGCCAGCCGAGCAAAGAAAGAAGTTATTCCCTTTGTTATCGTCTGTGTCGAGTCTCCTGACCCGCTTGTCCATCACGCACTTCCTCTGCTTTGAATCCCTCTGGGGAGCCGTGCAGGAGTCGGGGCCCCTGCCCTGGGATGCTAACGCTCACCTGTGCGCCCTCAACGAGAAGGTAGCCAAGCACAACGAAGCCGAGTTGCTACGTGCCTTCCGACGCCGAGGCCTCACGCTGGAGTACAGCTCAGCGGAGGGCCAGTACACCATCAGAAACGCCTCGGAGGTGAGCGACAAGTGGGTTCCGCCGACGGTTCGAGTCGTGCTGTTCGAAGAAGACGACCGCGTCCACATGCTGCGGCGTGTCGGCTGGCGTAGGCGCGTGCTGCCCCCGGACTGCGACGCCCACCCCGTCCTCCAGTGCTTCCCGCCCCAGCTGGCACTTGACCCGCTTCCCTCAAGGCCGTTCGGGCCACTCTCGCTTCCGGCACCTCGGGAAGACATCGATCTCCTCAAGTTCCATTATCCGGAGACGTGGTGGCGGCCGCTACAGCCCAAGTGTTAGGAACGCGCTGGGGTGTCAAGGTATCGTTCCTCTCCCAGGGCGTCCGAATCAAGATTTGTAACTTTAGCGATGGCAAGGCAAGGTACTTTGTCATTTGAGTCAGTATTAAATGCAGAGTTATTTTTTTGGAGGAAGATATTAGTTCCCGTTCCACGTCCCACAAACTTCAAAATAAATGCAGCATTGCTTATAATAGGTACCTATATATTTTCGGAGTATATAGAGCAGTGACAACCAGTTTTTAAGAAATAAAATGAGATGCATATATAATTCCAGCTTTGATATACAATGGAAGAAGCTATCGAATGCTTGGATTGCAGCATGCAATGTAGACTTTTTAAACGTTTGCTCAAATAAAATATATACTGTCTGCAGTCCAATTTGCAATTGATTGTGAGCATTGCTTCCGAATTGATCGACGTTGGAGCAATTGCAAGATATAGCAATGAAGGTAATGATCTTATATCAGAGAATGATTGTATTTCTTTCATCCTTTCCTTTTAACGTTTTCCTATTTTTTCTCTTTTTCTCTTCCCTCCCTCACTTCCATTCCGGTGCGTTCGTTTCCTCGGTTCTCTCACCTTTCCACAAATTTACATATTCCATCTCTTCCTCTCCCTGCTTTCCCACCTTGTTCCTTTTTCTCAGTCATTCCTCTTCCTCTTCTAGACTTCTTCGTACATGGTGACCTACGGCTGGTTTGTTAAAATTAGCCCAATAATATTGATATATATGGATACGTTTATACAGAAAAATGGGCCTATCCATCTACCCGTCTGATGGATATGCAATTATCTAGCTACTTATCTGATAAATATACACATATAGAGTGATAAACACGGACTTATTTATGTGTATAAGCATGTCCATACGTATAAATATTCATGAGATCGGACCTCTTGCAGTTATGATAAACTGTGGCCAGTCTGGGTTATTGTACTTATATTCTTTTATGTGTAATTAACCATTGGTTGATGTATCGATTAATAATACATTTTCTTATATGGTTATTTTGATGCATATAATATCAGCTAATGTCCTACATATAATGGTTGTGTTAATAGTGATAATACCAGTTAAGAATATGTAATATCAATTATTTCCTTAACAACGTTAGTATTACTCTTCACTTAGCTGTTACAGGAAACATATCATTTTAGTATTTTCAACTTGAGGACATGTTATCATACCTTCCCTGCTTCCGCTTGCTTCGACTCTGCTTAATAAGCGCCTATGCTATGTTTCCTTTTGCTTTCCTGCTTCCTTAAAAAGAAAAGTTTGCCATTTATTTCACAGCATGATTTTATTTGTATGGCACATTGATATCGGTTAGTTGTTTGATGCTATGCTAAATTGTAGTGCTAAGCTTCACATCTAAACTCTCGCTTCAAG